ATTAAACATATTTAATCTTCTTATTTTATTTTAGTATATTCAATTAGGTGAAAGATTAAGATGTAATAAAAAAATTCTTCCAAATAATTTTAAACATGATGGGGGACACATACACGAAGAGGGTGGTTTTATTTTTGTGATGCAAAGTGCCGGTTCTGTGAATATTTTGTAAGTATAAAAATGCGAATACTTTCAGATTATTTAAAAAATTTTTTAATAGACTTTAATATTTATTATTAGTGTATATTGCCTTATGGGCTCATTCAATTTCATGATATAAGGCATGGAAATATGTCACAAATTGCACAAATTGAGTTAATCGGAGAAGATAATGAACCTGAATACGCAGGGTATGATAATTACATCGCTTCACACGATTATTAAAAATTTTTTATTTAATTTTTAGGTTTGTAACCTGGTATGATATTCCATGAATTTACTATTTCTTATAATTATACAAAATTATTAAAATCGTTATTAGTTCTGTAAAGATATAGGTAAACATCATCATATCGATTACAGTCAAAATGAAGAAAATTCTGATCAAGGAAATGATAGACGTCTTGTTAATGGTAATTTGATCTTGATTTTTTGATGTGTATATTTGTATCGGTATTTATTAACTATTTAATACATTACAGACAAATTAAAGCCCGATCTTTTTAGAAAAAAGGATTTCATTTCTCATGAGTTATTCTGGGAACGAACAGGGTTTAAAGGTATATATTAAAGTTATATGTACATCCTTAGATATGCTTAAGCTTATTTATTTATTGTATATGTTTTAGATCCTTATTCGGTTCAAGAACAAAAAGAATTCATAATATATGAAGATAGCTCAAATATTAAATGTTCAAAGTAAGTTTTTGACTGATAACAATTGTAATTTTTTAAAATCATGATAAAAATAGTTTTGGATTTAATTTTCAAATAAAAGAATTCCTATCCGATTCAGTAATATATATAATTAATTTTTTAAGAAATTTACCTTAATGACCTTGAATTATTTTTATTAATTACAAGACGAGATAATTTTTTGTAAACCGTTGTAACTAATTAAAAATTTTATCTTGGTGGTTATTATATAAATATATATATCCCTCAAAAAGTAAATCCTATGATTTCAATATTACCCAAAATTAGCACCCTTCGAAAAACCTTGTAAAATGTATTGATTATATTAAAATTTATTGAAGTAAAGCTAAAAAGAATTATAAAATATACAATTAAGTATGATATTACTATTTACAATTATTACTATATCGCGGATATCATAATCATCGCGAAATACATCATCACGAAATTCATCCATCGCGAACTTCAACATTGCGGACTTTCTTCATCAATATCTGAAATTACTAAGTCTTCATTATAATCATCAAATGGACCTGCTATACTACAAGAATTTCATCAGATATACCCTTCCAACGCTTTACCCAATTTCAAACATCACTACATTAGCACCACAAGTTCCATTCTTTGCTAAGTTTAACCTTGAATGGCTTGTTAATAGCAACATCAAGTGGTTGGCATATGTTCATCAAACCACCTGGGATTAATGCTAAATCAACAATGATATGACGAAATATTTCTTTAATAGATTCTTCTAGGTGACCTCGGAAAGAATCATAATCAAGCATAGTTGGGATCCTTGGATCGATTATCATTAAAATAATCGATGTTTTAACCATTAATTTGGCATCCATCCACCATATTCCTAAACCAAACCTTCACACCAGATGGAATATGTTCACTATGGTTCATTCCTTTTCATTTAAAGATGCATATTGGCGTCAATCTGTATATTTCACTTGATGCAGGATTTACTAAAAAATAAATTCTACAAGCATTACAAGTAAGGATAACTGTAAACGAATTTTTTTCGTTGCCTATCCCTCAAATATAAATTATATTTTCACCTGTTTGATTGACAGTGTAAATACTAGAATGTAAAGGTTAAAATAATATCAACAACCTCTATTCTAACTCCCCAGTATCACCAACAAATTTTCCTCCTCACGTGACTTCTGTTTTCAAATGTCCGGTCACGTGGGGTGATTTTTTTTTAAAAAAAAAACTACATAATATGACGAAATTTTGGCTAGCTAGCAATTTACAATTGTAAAAAATAGGTGTTCTATTTTATTATTTTAGATCAAAATTTAATAAATTTACGAAACACGTGAATAATACGATTTTGTTTGGTGATCGCTTAGCTGCAAAGTAACAAATATGTGATTGGTACGGTATTACTATTTTATGTTGAAAAAATAAATAAAGACGCATATGATACGTATGATATGTAATGTGCGATCAACCATATATATTCCATAATTAGTGATCGATAATGAAGATCATGAATCCCACAATTTCACATCTTTTCACATTTCAATATAAATAAGGACAGAATCCATCTGTTAGTTTGCATTCACTCTTGTGAGTGTTTAGAATTCCTCTTTGTGGAGTTATCGGTAACTCTTGTCTTCGGATAAAGATTTTTAACAAGGTAAACTGCGCTCCCTGTTTTACCAAAGTTTTAATGATTACAGTTTACAAGATTGTTAGCATAGCGAGGTTCGCTTAAAGGAATTTGCTTCCCTAGACATGGAATGCGAGTGTGTCACTCCCTGCTAACTTTACATTATTTATTTACTTTGTAATAGATAACCTTGCCTTGAACTTTCACACGTTTCGATATGGGTCGATTTTTCACTATGAGTGATAACATTTATATATTATAGCGGGTGGACGAACTTGGGAAATGAAGGGAGATAAGCAAAATTCTTCTTGTTATGACTACACTCTATTCACAATTAATTTTTGAATGAGAGCGGAATGGAATGCTTGAAATCTAAATATAAATGGGTCAGATTCAATAAGAGGTTGATTTAGATGATTTAGATGATTTTACTACGGCTAATTTTCACTGCGAATTTTGAATTAGTATGTATAAAGTGGAATTGAGAATATGGTTGTTTGAATTGGTTAATTTATTTCGGAAATATTGCATATAGCGAAAAAAAAAAATTAGCATTGGTATTACGGAGTTTGGCTCAAGATGCCTTCTCTCTTGAAACTTGTCACTACATCTTTTTTACATGTAATAACTTTATTCATTAATACTAAAATAAAAGATTTAATTCTTTTCTGATAAGAATACGGAATAAACCAAACATTTTACAAGTCATAAAAGAAATCATTCTTTTATTTCGCCTTTTCGTTATGCAACTGCAAGGCAAGTAATAATAAGGAAATCTTTTGGTATTTTTTTTAAAAAATAATAAATCAAACAAAAAGCTTTTTTTTATATTGTACATATGTCAGTCGGGTCGGATATAGGCCTAGTTGATGATGATGTGTATATACTGAAACTTTGCGATCATAAAAATGTGGCTCTGGCGTAAGTGTGGAATGATAAAAATAAATTCCTTTTTCATATTCGATATGTCAAAAATGGTTTTTATTAGAAATATAACTAATAAAGATGAGATGTACTTTCGAAAATGATTAACATAACAAATGATTGATTATTAATGAGATTCTCCAGCCTGAATTATTTTAACTGAGCTGAAGTCTATTTCGATTAACAAGCACAACCCGTAAAAAAAAAATTATTCTTAAAATAGAATAATTTATTAGTTATATTCAATTAATTGGCAAACTAAAAAAAAATTGAACATTATGTAACTTTATTGTGGCGTAAATATAACGTCAATGTCATTGATTTGTTCTGTACATAATGTTATATTAAACATTAAGGTACCAGTATGGGAAAATAAAGTTCCAATAGTTCCAATTTAGATGATATTTTGTTATATTTTTTTTTGCTGAATTACCAACGGCGAAACACAAACAAAACAAACACATGCACGCTCTTTATATACAAAAACTCGTGTTCAGAGTTAGAACAAACTATCTTGGATTATTTAATATATTTATATCACATAATAATCAAATTATAATATTTCTTCTTATATACTTATTGAAAATTATTTTAAATATTTCTTTGTAATTTATCTAAAAAATTACTTTTATTAGAAAACATGGATGAAATGAACTCAAGTCCTGTTAAAATTGCGATTATATGCTGCGATAATTATTGAACTTAATTTTGGTCATCAATATAAACTTTTATAAATCAATGTTTTTTTCTTTAATATCATAGCTTATCTAATTCTACAAGGTATAATATAATGTCCTTTCATTCATTACATTTTTTCGATTTAAAAATTTATGCTAAGTCGAAATATCGAAATTAGAAACCCTTTTGAAGATATGCTTCCTCGTACTTAACTACATTACGAAAGATCATTTATTATCATTAATCAAAAAATATACAGTATATGTATTGATTTATTTGGCGCAATTTCGGTTGATTTTATTTATGGCGCAATGATCTTTTTGACGACACTATTAGAACGTAGGTAATTCTAATTGCTGGGAAAAGGGTTCCGAGACTAAATAACAAACAGTCTTCAGAACCATTTTTACTAGCAACCTTGTTTGGGATTATTACTTTTAATTTTAACTTTATTTTTACAAATACTTTCCAATTATTATTATATATTATTCACTTGAAAAATATTTTGTGTCTAACATTTTATTAACCATATAAAACTCTATCTATGATTTAACAATAAAAATGCATTTGCATACAAATAACGAAATATCAGTATAACTAGGAACACATCATTTTTAAAGATATCTTTAGATAAAACTACAAAAAAATGTTTTAGCTTTTATAAGAGGAATTATTACGACAAAAATTCTCGCAATAACGTGAATATTTTCTGCGGTGGGTCAACAACTTTTTTCATTTTTTCGATTAAAAGTAACTTGAATAAAAATTTAATTAATAAAACTAAACACATAGCATGTTATGTCTTTCAAAGGTACCATCCTGGTAGTATGTAAAATATCGAAGTCGAAACCACTTTGAAGATATCAAAAAATATAAAAATCGAGAATCTTATATGCTTAAAAAAATAACTTACTGACTAAAATACCATTAAAAATAAATTAGAATTAGTTAGGTTAAATTACTATATACAAATCAAAAAATTCACTGTCTCCTTATAATATGATTGATATTTAAATATTGTATTGTTTAATTAAAAAGTTAATTTATGTTATTAAAATTTAAATGGCTTACAAACTATGTATAAATTATGATTAAATTTATTTGTAAGCAAAGAATAAATCTTATTAATAAATTTAAATTAGATAAATGCTTATTTTATCATGTAATTCTCTTAGAATAGAGCATACGAACTGGCTCTATCATAATATATTTATTTTTGAGAAATAATTGAAATTATTTATTAAGGTTATATCATAGTTAATGTACTTACCATATAATCCTCCTATTATTTTGAAATAAAATTGATCATAATTAACAGATTATTATATTCGTAAATACTTATATTTGCTTTTGCATTTACTTTCATCTTTCAAACTACTTCTTTATTTCAAATTTTAGCATTTTTATTAATAAAAACATAACTTTTACATTATTCTAGATATATATTTAATTTCATTGAAATGTAGTAATAATTAAAGAACAATATAATTATATTTTTATATCTCTTTAAATACAAATATATCTCATTTGAGTTTACATTAAAATTTTATTAATTATTTATGTACTTATTTACCTTTGTCATTTAAAGATTTGATAAATTTAATTATAGTGAATAAGTATAACAAATTCTTATAATATTTAAATGTGGTTAATAATACATAGAATTACCTTCTAGCTCTTCTAATGAGGACGTTTCCTTAGCATCCGGAACCGACTCTAATGTGTATGTGAATATTAAATCATCTAACCGTTACCTTGATTCCTTTTTTTGTTTGGTAAAA